TGTGTGTGTGTGTGTGTGTGTGTGTGTGTGTGTGTTTGTTTGTCTGATCTCCATGGCTTCAAACCTTTTTGAACATTTAATCACCACATCCCTGCTTCTCTCTCCTTCTCACTCTCACTTATCTGCTGCCGCCGGCAATTTCATGCATCTTCAGACGGAGAAGGCGTCGTGGCCATGGAAACATATTCTGATGCTGCGGACTGAGCAGAACGGGTCCAAGCTGCGTGACCTCCGGGTTTATCTGCAGTCCCACACACAAACACATGGAGGTGGAAGGATGGACGAGGCAGATTAACTGACTCTTATGCAGCTTTACTGTCATCTAGTTATAAACTGTAGAATATCAGAGCATTAACACAGCTCTCCACTGCACTTTAGGTTCAGCGTCTCTCCCTGTGATTTTATCAGACGACCCTAATCCTACAGCGATCCAGCTGTCACTTTCAGTTGTCTCATATCACACACCCACCCACTCACACACACACTGACCTCATCATGACTTCAACATCCTTATTATAATCAATATTTTTGTGCTAACACCCGATCAGATCTGCGAGGAACCACCAGACAGAACGAGTGTTATCGAGTGTGGCAGTAGATTTAGTCCGGGTCGTGGGTCACAGTGAGGAAATGAGACAAAAATAAAAAAAATCCAGATGTTTCGGTTCAAATCTCTGTTCAGTCACTTCCTTAAAGGTCAGGATGAGTTTAGAACCAAATCAAATCCACTGATAAACAGTTTTCAGACATGAACATGAACAAATGTTGGTCCAGACATTTTCCTCAGTTTGTCTTTCACATATGAAGAAGCAGCAGAAGACTCGTTCACAACAACAGGGACATGAGGGGGGACATTCAGGCGAGGGGTGGAGCCTGGGTCGAGGACATGGTGTTTAGATTTTTGATCTTACTTGATTAAGAATTTCAGCGTCCACCCTTCTACCACTAAAAGCTCTGGAATCGCTTCGTCTTTCTCGTGTTATTGCAGCTTTATGTACTAATAGAGAAGCGTCCCCATTTTAATATCTTGTCGTGACCCTGACATAAAATTGAGGGGTCCATTAGTTCAACATGTTGCATAATTAGCCTCATATTTTAATTGCTCATGTTTCATCTTTCACCTTAGGAATAGTGTAGTTGAAGCAGTGGGTGTAGAAAGAGGCATAAAACAATAAAATTATACAACACTGTTAATGTACCGAGTCATTTTATAGGCAACAATTTGCAGCTCTGTTCTCTGCAGCTCAAGCTCTCTGGGGTAGGAAGTGTGTGCAAGAGGGTGCAAGGTAAAAAAAACTGTGAGCCAGAGAACATGTGAAGGAGAGTCAAGATTCAATCTATCTCTTTTTTTCTCTCTCTCTGCTGTTCCAAGTTAAACCTGCTGGGACTCGGGATTCATCAGCGGTCTGTGATTGGCTGACGATGTGGTGGAATGATGGTGTTAGGACCCTGAAGGAGCGGCCGTGATTGGCTGATGCAGGAGCGCACACACATAGTAATGCATGATGGGAGCATGCACACGCACACACGCTCAAAGTCATGCATTCATGTATGCAAAAACACACATACATGAAGAGGCTCGGGTGAGCACAGAATGTACATTTGTGGATTTACATGCATGCACAAACATAGTGACACGTATGTGCGCACACAAAGAAAACTGTGCACTTGATTTAGATTTACATGCACGCACACACAAGCTCAGTGAGTCTTACAAAGCTGCCTGAAAAGAAAAGATTGAAACCAAGAGGAAAGAAGAGAAGCAGAGTTGGGGGAGTGTGAGTGTGTGTGTGTTTGTGAGTGTGTGTGTGTGTGTGTGTGTGTGTAATGGTGGGGAGGGGGTGACGTCTAAATGGATCATTCTGGCACTGTCTAGTTTACTAATGAGGCTCTGAGGAATGCTGCTGATCTTCTTTTCGGATGGAAATCTAGCGATACATTACCAAACAGCAGAGTAAGCCCCTCTACACACACACACACACACACTGCCACCCCATGTGCTGCTCTACATGTGAATGAGTGACTGGTTTGGCAGCAGGGCCGAGCGATGGCACTGACTTCAGACGAACAAGTCAACTGACAAGGCCCCTTGACTAAATAAAGTCTTGGCATGTTTTTGTTTTTTTATCTTGCTGTGGTCAAAGACACAGTGTCGTGTTGTTTTGTTTGGACGAGACTCCTTCACCGCCTGTCAGTCAAGAAACCCTGTCTGGGATTGTTCTCGGTTGATTTTCTCTGCACTTTGGAGCAGTTTTACTTGTGCAGAGCTTGTTCTGGTCTGTTGCAGCTTTCTCCCTGGAACCCACGTGAAGTCCAGACCTTTTTATTGAAATGTCGCTGAGGGTCGTCTCAGTGCGCCGAGCTCTGAACGGGAGAAGCAGTTGTCATGAAGCCACTGTTGTGGCGATCGAACACATCACTTGTGTTGTTGTCGCTGCTACAGAGCGTTGGTGGCCTCCTTATTCCATATCTATTAGTGTTTAACGTGTTGCACGTCAAAATCTCACAAAATTCAACACTGCACTGCTTTGGACAAGAAAATAATCAGACTCTAAACATTGTGCAGATGTCTGTGGATAATATCATCAGAATATACGACGATATACCAACAAACCTGGAAGCAGATAACTGTTGTTGTGTACTCTGGTTTAACTGTGGGTAATTGTATGAATCTTCTACGTGTTTATGTCTCTGTCGATGTACTTCTGTATTTGCACGTCAATAACCAAACTATTCCTACATCGAAAGGTGACGATCGACTTGGAGCTCCACCTCGCCAAGAGGACAAAGACCAAGCCTTCCAGAGGTCCTTTAGCCCGCTATGACGTCTACCTCTACAGGGTTCCCAAAACAGAACCCAGAATCCCCAACAGGCCCCACGCTAAGACTGCCAACAGCCCCAGCAGAGCCAAGGACCGAGTCCTGCGATGGGCGGACGATATGTACCCCCCTTCCCCTCCTTGTTCTATCTGCAGCCCCGTCAGTACTCAGTCACTGCCTGTCCCCGCGATTGACGCAACTCAGCGGTCCGGACCCTGGACTCTGAAACCTCACACCCCTTGACAAACCTCCTCCCTTACATCTCATGGCTGTCATCTTGAAAATGGTTCTGTGACTGAATGTGTTGCATGTTGTTGATGTTTTGCACGAGCTCTTATTAATGAGAGTATAGTTCAATGTATGTATCTCAGGCGGAAACAAGAAGCTGGAGCATTTTATGTTTCGGGTTCTGTGGAGACTCAAACAAAGTGGATGATGAGCTTTAATTTTCTTGTAGAGAAACAACTGGGAAACATTTGTTCAGGGAAACACTGAGAGTTTTTACCAATAAATACCCATGAGTTGTTGTGTTGCAGTATTTGTTTGATATTCTGAGTTCATTTTACTGCATCATGCTGTATTGTGACAGTACTGACAGTATCTTACTCATGAGCACTTCAGTGACTGTAGGAATCAGACCTGTGACCTTGTGGCTGGCAGCCTCCGCAGCAGCACAAACACAGGAGTTTGTTTATGTTATTGGTAAATCGGTGCCAACGATTACAGCAGAACCAGTGGGCGGTTTGCCAAACAGCTGATCGGATTGTTCTGCATTACGCCTCTCACACGACACAGTGTTTGCATCAAAACCCCCTCGTGTCTGACTCAGCAGAGAAATATATACATATAATATAAGTTTCACATGAGATTTTACTGATCTGTGTTTGAGGATCTTTTCTGTCTGAGGTAAATCTATCCATCCATTAATTTAACCTCTGAACTTCCACACGACAGACAAACAAAACAAGACAAACTAGCAGGTGGGTAAAGTGAAGCAGGTGTTTTACAGGTAAGACCAAAGACGGTAAATAAAGATGGACGACGTGTCCCCGCTTCCTCCCACTATCTGGAAATGAATAACAATAATAATGAATGGGTGACAAGAACTACCTGACATGACAGAAATCATCTTTGAAAACGTTTTTTCAACGTATCCTTCCTTTTTTTTTTTTTTTCATGTCCTATTCGCTAACACGGAGGAGATTGTTGAGTATGAAATCTGCTGCACAGGAAACAATGGAAATAGAAAAGAATAAAATGCAGCTCTGTTGCAGTTCTCCTCCTGATGTCTTTGATACTGAGATGTTTGGGAGCTGCACAGTGCCATCTGCTGATTCAATGATCAGATGCTAATATTTCTATCTCCCATTTTACTGCTCTGTTGTGTTGGTTCACTGTTCTGACTGAACCATGATGTAAGATGGATGACTTACACGATGCATTTGATTGATGGATGATTAACAGACATTTCTATGCAGGATTTTTGTTTGTCTATTTTATGCAGCAACACTTTTTTGTTGTGATCTTTGAGTATCGGTGATAAAATATAGAAGTGAACAGGTTTGAGTTTGAAAGGTGATGTTAACGGGTGATGATTTCCCTTCAAATGAGAGAGCTGAATTAAAATATCATGTATTAATATTATTCACTTTAAATATAAAAAAGCAGTATGACTTAATCTGTTGTAAATGTTAAATCTGTACCTCAGGAGAGAAAAAAATAACTATACATGAAAAGATCAAGAAATAAACATCTGGTGTACGTTCACTTCCTGCTAAGAGAGTTTTCATTTCCTGCTAAATGATGACATATTCCACTTTTTTTTTTTTAAAGTCTCCCATTTGTGTACAAAGGTTGTGAAGACATATAACCAAGGTTGATGGTTCCAAACTATACTGTAATATTCTATATACGATACTCTAATGTTGAAGGTATACTTGAAGTACAGTGTGATATACCATACATAGGTATCCTCATTTGAATACATGGATCACATGTTGAGCAGGAAGCAGTTTCATACAAAACATGACATAAAATGAGATATCCTGCTCAGTTACCTCAGTATTTTGGATTAAATATATATATATATATATATTTCTATATTTGGGGGGAAAAAGTAGTAGTAGTGATTGTGTGAATGAGTTTCACATCTCATCGTTCATGCAAAGATGTGACTCTTGCAGACAATAGTAACAGGAAGTTTAGCTAATGATGAAGCTTGAATGATTATATAAATTATTTAGAATTATTCTTTTTAATCATTAAGGTGAATTAATAGTAAATGTAAGCTTTTATAATTTCAGTCATGTAAATATACCTTAGCTGTGTGTCTCAAAGCTATTTTTAAATATTGTTTTCATTAGTCTTATCATTTTTGAATGATTATTATGATTAATCATATTCTAATTAGTCATATTAATCATATTCTTATTTATGTAAATCCCCTAAATGTCCCTGCCGCCAGTCACCCATGAACACGGTACTACCAGCAGGAGGCGCTGTCTGTGAATCAACAAGCAGACACAACGAAGAAGTCACCATGCGTCACCAAAGATCGTCTATGCAGATGCTTTTCACGAACATGAGATGGTTGGTTGAGAAAAACTGGTGAAAACGTAAAATTGAATCCTGAAATTTGAGAATAAATTAAATCCGCACACGTGACATCATCATCATTATTATTATTATTAGACTATGAAGAACTTGTTTACATGCAGCACTGAACACGTTGCTAACACATGAGCTAATAGCTAAGCCCGTGATTCCGCTGGCAGAAGCAGAGTGACACCTCCTGTTTAATTTTTAACTCTTCGTGTGTAGCATGCTGCCTGACGTTAGCACAGCAGCTAGCCAGTTAAAAACAAAGCTAACAAAGTAGAAAACCTCCCGTTGCTGTAAAAACAGTGAGTTTACACCAAGAACACTTGAAGTAAATCTCCACAACAACAACTTCTCACATTCTTCTCTTGTATCTCGCACGTTAACGCGTTAGCTCGTGTTGTTTACAGTTAGCTTAGCCATGTACACGGAGCTCAACAGCATCCTGAACTCTGGTCCCGACAGCTTCACTCAGGTGACTCTACCTTTTTTATCCTGTTGGCTCTGTAGCATCGCTGAGACACAACTCACTGTCCCGTGTGCTAATGCTAACACGCGTGAGTTCCCGCTGTTTTATGATGGAAACATTAGCATCTTTGTAGCTCGCTCATTCACGTTTGTGTCCTCTCAGGGAGAATTCATCCTCCTGTCAGACAGACAGAGTGATGCCTCTTTCCTCGTTCACCACTTCCTGTCTCTCTACCTGCGAGGTGAGATGTGACACGTGTGTGTGTGTGTGTGTTAGAGAGTAAACATGTGAATCACATGTGTGTGGGCAGCAGCTCCAGTGTGTTTTGTGTTTTGTGTTTCAGCTCGTTGCAGAGTGTGTTTCCTGGGCCTGGTTCAGTCCTTCAGTCACTACAGTGCAATCAGTCAGAGGCTGGTGAGTCTGACCCCACGTCACACTGTCCTCAGAAAGTTATTTAAGTATTAAATGAAGGCCTCATGATGCATAAGTTGTCATTCGTCATCATTCATCTGCTTTCATCCTCAGCTCTTCATCAGCTGTATCTCACATTACAAACATGTTTACATGTATTTACTTGGCGGACTCTTCTTTATCTCAAGTGACTTACAACAGAGAGACAATTCTAAAGTTTTAGTACAGTAGAAGAACTTTTAGTAAGTGCCACATACCTAATGTAAGGTAGCAGAAAGAGCTCAACGCATTACAAATTAAGAAAACACATGCAAATAGAAAATAACACATGAAAATTAATAAAACAACCTCATGAATTTGACGACACATGCAAATACAGAAACATGCTGCAGTGATACTCATTGGCTTTCCTTGCTTTAAATGATGGCAACATCTTTATGTGTGTGTATTGTGTGTTCTCAGGGTGTGAGTCTCGCACAAGCGAAGGAGAAAGGTCAGCTGATATTTCTGGAGGGACTGAACGAATCATTGAATGTTTTGATTCCTCAAGAAACTGATTCAGGAAATGAAGCCATGGACTTCCTCAGGTACAATACATGATCATTTTTTTCTTCAAACTTTTTCTTCAAACTTTTTTAGTCATGTGGAATCATGAACCCTTTGTATACATATTGTTGTCAGTTTGTAATCATTACACCTTAATATAAGTTTTTGTGAAGTCTACCTTATCATTTCTACACCTCCGCGCCTCTGTAGAAACCCTATAATAAACAACACAAGCCTTATACTCTGTTGCCGGTGTCTCATTATCTCCATCTTCTTCAGGGATCCGACAGCCGGCCTGCGGCGTTTGTACGAGTTTGTCCGGTTCAGTTTAAGAAGTTCGGGCGGAGAGGAAAAAGAGGAGTGGGGACCCCCCGTTTTGATGGTGGATGACGTCAGTGTGCTGCTGAGTCTGGGGGTCAGTGCTGGAGCCGTGTTGGACTTCAGTCACTACTGCCGAGCCACAGTCTGCTCCCAGTTACAGGTTCGATTCTTACACTTGAGGCGTGATTGCGTCGATGGTTCGCAGCTTTGAACCATCCTGAATGACCTTTTGCTGAAAGCATTTTATGTGACCTGTTCCACTGTCACTTAACAAGCCACAGATTATTGCCACTCTCTCGATATTGATTCTTGCCAGGATAAAATCTTACTGCCGGGTGAGCGCCCACCAATTTCCTTCTCACATTTTTCTATTAATTAATCCAATAGAAACGACGCACTTCTGATGTAGTTACACAGGTAAAAGAAAATTTGACAAAAAACTGTTTTCTTAAAATAGCAGTAGACAAAAGTTGTATTTCTCTGAAGAAATATCTACTTCTGGGAATGAGCTACTGCAGTGACTCACAGAAAACTTCTGTTCTTCATCACTATGATTTTAACGGTGGCTGCAGGGCAACATGGTGATGCTGGTACGCTGTGATGGGGAAGAAGAGGAGGGTGACGGAGATGACGAAGGCTCAGAACTTCTCCTAAAGGGACTGACCCACCAGTGCAGCCTCACTCTTAATGTACAGGGTCTCCCAACTGGCTACTGTAGGGACATCCACGGGCAGGTGTGTGTATTCTTCTGTTTTTCTGATTGAACATAAATTTTCCAACTCTGAATAGATGAATCAAACGTTCCAGCACTATAATAAGCCAGTCGAGCATTAATTGCTTATGAAAATTACAGCTAGTGTTAATGCCTGAATATACTTGAATGTAGCCCACAATTTCCCAAAGCTGATTTTGACATAATCAAAGGACTTATGTCATGAAACAGTTCATACCCCAAATGTATTCAGTTTACCATCATAGACAATGATGAAAACCAGCTAAACAAATAACCACTTATAATATTTGCAGTGTACTTTTTAATTTCTATCAAATTATCAATTAATTGGCTCATTGTTTGACTTCTAGATGAGGAAAATATACATTTCAGTGTTTCTCAATTCATCATAACTGAAGATGTTGAGCTGTTGAACTGCCGGGAACAGATTTCATTCGAAATTACAGTAATGCACATATTACACGAGGCAAAAGGCTCACAAAAGATGTGATAAAACCTTTCATTTAAAATGTGATTAACCCTTCAGCCCTTTGTTGTCCTTCTTTTCAGGTGGAGGTTTGTTGGAGGAGGAAAGAAGGTGATGGACAGAACACACAGAAGAAACTCTTTCAGTACAAGGTTCATGATAAAGGAGCCTCCTTCTTCGCTCGAGGGACATCCAGTGCTGTTCTCTAGACTTCATCCTCATGCACCTTTGTCTCTTCAACATGTGACACGGACTAATGTTTTGATACTACCGGACAACACTTGTGTTGGTTTGTTAGCTGCCAGAGTGTCTGGCGACATATGTACCAGCTGTGGTCGAGCTTCACAGTCAGTGACTCAGTCTGGGATTGACTCTGAATTGATCAGATGTTTTATTTGTCAGTTATTTCAAATCGAAGACATGAAAACAAAATGTCAGCTCAGCATGATGAACAGGTTCTTCTGTGGAGTACACACTCATACTATTCATTTGCTTGGACTAATCAGGTTTTCTGTGGTTTCTGCAAATGATCACTATAGATGATGTTTGATGTTGTCACAATTACTTAAGAACAAAATGAGTACTGGATATGTGGTGTGTTGTTTTAAAAACACTTTTTGTAACTCAAGAACAATCTGGAGTCGATGACCTGATTAGATTTTGGCCTACATTAACGTATACATTTGCATATTGATGAGTTATAAACGAGGTCATGGTGCGACATAAAGCAAGTGTTAGCGTCATCAAATTGACAATAGTAATCGGCACACCATGTTCACACAACATAAATCTAATAAAGCTGTAAAATGATTCGAGATTCAAGAACTTTATTGTCACAGTGGTATGATCATTTAAAAACGTTTGCAGAGAAGCTCCATCATAGGAAACAAAGTAAGTAACACAAGACAGAGCGATAATAAAAAATAGCATGAATGAAACGTGCGTGTGTATTCTTAATATTTATACTTCATGTTTATACTTCATGTGTGTTCTTAATAGTTATTCCCTTGACCTCCTCGGCCTCCGTAGTAAATAAGGAAGCTCTTCCTCCACGTTTTCCCGTGTGACCCAGGTGTCGCCACCGTCCCAGCCTGTAGAGGTCGCTGTGCCCTCGCTCCGCTCCCTGCGGGGTCAGAGGTCGGAGGTGAGAGGTCTCCGAGGAACCTGACAACCAGGAGATTTGAAACGCTGCCCCTTCATGTTAGCATCGGGTTCCAGGAGCTCAGCTTTTTTATTTTTATTTTAATCCTCTGGACGTTCCCCCCGCACACAGAAGGAAAATAACACGGCGGGGTTTCGTCTCTTTCCGCAGGAGGACGACAGCAGCAGCAGCGACACCGTGAAGTTTATCCAGGCAAGTGTGCGGCGCTTAAACCCCGTTAGCATTAGCTGCTATGTGGAAGCGTGGGAGCGATGGGATTGCTTAATTGCTACTGTAGAAGCTGCTGGACTCACACACACTCACACACACAGACGTTGTTGTTGGTTTAATAAAAATCAGGTGCGAACCCCGCACATGTGCAAATTAGCTTCGCGTGCTAACATCGCTTCTTCGCTAAGCTAGCTAACTTTAGCGTTCGTTTTCATATTCGGCTGCGTTGTTAGCTTTAGCTTCTCGTCACAGTTTTCCTCGCCCTGTTCTCCAGACGTGTGTAGCACCAGCCCGCAGCGCCACGTTCGACACGCTGTTTGTTTACCCTCGGTCGTTTTGGTGAGTTTATTTAGAAACACACCTTTTCGTCGGGAGCTCGCCCCATCACAGCTAGCGGCGTTAGCCAGGCTCCAGCTTGGTGCCATCAGAAGTTGTCAAGACGAAGTGCAGCCATTCGGAGGGACCTCAGACTCCTGTGTGTGTTTATCGGGCTCTCTGTTAGCTCTTAGTGTTCGTACATGTCGTCTCTTAGCTTTTTAAAACGCTGTGGTTGTGCAGGACTGAGTCGCTCAGGGGGAAGCTAGCTCACAACGAGTAGCTGGTTCGTCTCCTGATCTGAAATGTTTAGTCAGACTTTAATGTTTGCTATGAATGAGGGTGTAAACCCTACTGATGTCAGACATATTATTTATAAGTACGTAAGTGAATGTGGGTGCTAACAACCTGCAGGATACGTGTAGCCAACGTTAGCTAGCTGTCAGTCTGTGACAGATCCTGAAGGGAGCTCCACCTGTGAAAATACACGAGAATCACTTATATCACTGGGTCATAATATGAAGAATGAACGTGTAAGGAATCAGTTCATGGTTTGATGTAGCTCAGTGTTTTTGTTTTTGCACCTTTACTTGTCATGAACGTGTTTTGTTGAGGTGCCATCGTTGTTTTTTTTTGGCTTGAAAGAAGTGACTCTCTGCTGATTGTACAATCATTCAGCTAAAACTACACATCATTGATTTGAAGACCATGTCACGACCTTGTTTTGGATCCCTGGCCCTTGTTGTGGAGCTGCTCTGCTGGTTCGTGCCTGATGTTGCTACAGGATTGCATCAGTGCCATCATTCCCTATGTACTCACTGTCTTGTGATGCCTATTTCACCAATACTCTAGGTTGTGAAAACAGGCACACATGCATTTTCAGGCCATATCTCAGTTAAAAAAATAGAATTTACTATTTGTTCATTTTCCTTTCTTGAATTTGTTGGATAAATGAAATCCTTGCCAGGTCTGCTTAATTCACATCGTGTCTTATTGCTATGTGGTTACTGATTAACAGGACTTTTCCCTCAGTGGTTGTAAAAGGCTGCGTTGCAATAATCTGCTCATCCACATCAGGCTTTTCTCTGTATTTACAACAGGACTAATGGGCCTCACTGATCAGAGGAGCATGCTTCCACATTATGCAACAGTGTTGGAGCAGACATGTTACGGAGAATTGATGTTGCCTAAAAAGCTCCCTGGAATGTTTTGTAAACTTTTTGCTTTGCCGCAAATCCTGTGTAGCTGTAAATGTATTGCTTGATACCAAAAACTGCTTATTATGCCTCTGGATTCTTTAAACCCTGGTGATGCCTTCAAGCTGGGCATTTTAGGAAGTGTTGAAAAGAGGTAAGCTGCTGTTTTCATAACCTCTCATGTCGAGTATTGGAAGTGTCTGCGTGACTCTAAACGGTCTCAGTTTTGAAGAAGCTTTGTTACAGTTCATCCATGAACTCTTAAAACTAAATTGCTCACAGTGATGTTATTGGCATGTGCCTTTTATTAATGTACCTTTCTATCTGCAAGACACCCAATGAAGCTGCAGAGACCCTCAATGATCCCCCTTACTGAATGTGTGCTTGCAATGCGAAACGCTGTGTCTGTCGTGTCCGTAGCTGTGTTTTTGTGCCGGCTCCTCGTGCCTGGAGGCATATAGACTCCTCTTTGTTAGATTATTAGTTGCCTAGCGCCTATACAAATACATAGGGCTCCTGAACTGAGGCATTTTCCAAGTTCTTGTCATAACCATTTATTTGAGTTTAAGCAGAAATGTTGTTTTCATTTGCTCAGCCATAGTGGATGGTTTAATCCAACCAACACCATCCGGTCAGACAGAATAGGATTTTCAAACTATCTCTGGTCATCTGCCAAAGTGGCTGAAGAGAACACAAACTCACCAGCTTCAGACAACAGTTAACCAGCCCTTTGCCTGCGGCTGCTGTTGATTTTCAGCCCTGGTTGTGAATTCTTTGTCTTAAAGCCCTTTCAAACTTGTTAGTTTTTTAATATGTGAATGTCTCTGCATGCTGTAAAGTTCCTGATAGCCCGCCTAAAGGCTGTGACCAGAGGAGAGGGTAAGCAGTGGGGGGTGGCCATAGGCCCTGAGCCCTGCTCGTTGAGTTTCCGATCGGCTAAATCCCGGATTAGTTCACTGACGGAGATGCAGCTGAGCCTTTGCCAAATCAAGCCTTGCTGCTGCGTAAACCCACAGCATGCAGTGAGCAGGACAGACAGCTGAGAGATGGAGGCATTCATTGAAAGTTGTCCCTGGCAAAATATTGAGCGGGAGCAGAACCTGAAGACTCAGCTTTCTGTAAGAGACACAGAGCAGAGAGGCTTTACTTGAAAGCTCTCTTTGGACCTTTGCAGAACCCATTGTGCAAGCTTGCCAGGACGTTGCCGTGTTTACTGTATAGTGTATTTATAACAGCAGATCAAGAGACTCCTGAGGCAAATTCCTCCCAGGGAATGTTTCCGTTGCTCCCAGGGGGACAAACCGAGCAGCCACACACTCTGCCTGAAACACGACGGAATCACTATGTTAACCACAAGGCACCGCTTAAGCTCAAAACACCTGGATATAAACGGCTGCGAGCCAGAGAGATAACCTGGTCCCCCATCAACAGGTATGGTCTCAGAACAGAGCGAGGAGTCTTTGATTAATACAGCGTGGCTGATGGTACAGAGCTATGTTGTTGTGCTTTGACACGGTAACAAATAACATGGTGCTGCTCGTGCACATGTGAAACGCTGAGTCAGAGAGTCGCTAAGGCTCGGCAGAATGAGACACTGTCCAGTTTGACGTAGGTTTGCCATGGCGGAGAATTAAATATTGTTATAGAGTGGTGTGTAACAGCAAACACTGATAGGCAGTGTTGAACATGTCTGCTGAGTAAACAGCGAGATAAGAGCTGAGATTGAGCAGAGAAGTCAAACAGAAGATTAAGGTGGGAGATTGAAGTGAGGCGTGCCTTCAGATTTCGACATTGAAATAGAGTTCAGGACACAGTCGAACACAGAGTCATGATAGTGCGGCGTGTTCAGTTTCTAGAAATTAAAATTAAAGGACTTCAGTGGTGGTATGAGCATCCTGCGTTAGCGTTCAAAAATGATTAAAAAATGGAATGTATTCATTTTAAGCATCAAAACTAACAAAATAGTAATTTAAGTTCTTGTTTTACAGATTTTTTTCGTAATATTTTTTTCAAAGTCCAGAGAAACATCTCAACATTACGACACTGATTACTTCTGAAATGAAGAAGAGAAAAAACAACTATTCAGTCATTTTTCAAACAAAATGCCAAACACCTGCTGGTTCCAGCTTCTGTAACGTAAATATCTGATGCTTTTTTCAAACTGAAAATCTCTAGGTTTTGGGCTGACTTACAGTCCCATCACACACTACTACTCTAGTACCAGACCCGATACTGTGGTCCAACACCCTGCACTGACAGTACACTGGGAGGATGCAGCTGATGAAGCGAATGAGAGGAAAAAGCTGCGGTATGCAGACATAGAAATTGAGGCAGAGCAACATGGTCGGAAAGTGGTAGTTTGCTCCTGTGGAAGTTCTCTGCAGAGGTCTCATTGCAACATCCACCATCAGGTTTCTGCGGATCTGGGGATTCACTAACAAGCCCTGTGCCATACCATAAAAGAAGAAGAGTGACCTGATCACTAGAGTCATTAAAATGTTAAGTATTTCTGTCATATAGCTGAGAAACTGGCTGATTGAATGGCGATGAAGGAAGTAGCTTAAATATTCAGTTGCTGGCACTTTCTGCATCTTTAATGAGGTAACAGTGCTACTGTCGTCTGCCTCAGGCAGCTCAACCCTCTGTGTTCTACCTGAATGGAGGCGGAGTTTACCTGCTGTTCTGAGCCAAAACACTTTTGTCAGGAAACCTGGTGGCTGTTTCTTCCCCCTCAGGTGTTTTCAACCAGGTGTGTACATCTGTTTACGCATGTCTAGCTGCCCAGTCGGACTTGCATGTTTTTGCATGTGACCACACCTCCCTGGCTGCTGAATGGGCCGTGTGTTCAAGCGCTGTCGACCCCTATGAGCCCGTCTGAAGGAAAAACACACCGTGCCTGTAGTCGGCAACATGTGCAGAGTATGTAACCAATTAGGTGTCCGGGACAGAGCAGCCCCCAGAAGAAGCAGCCTGTGTGTCAGAGTGTGTGTTTTAGTGTTCGTCTGTGGAGCTCAACCTAAAGTTGAGCCCGTTTGAGATGCAACAGTGATACAAATAACATTAATAAAAAACTGAGGCTGCTTTATTAATTTTAGATCTATTGTAGGCGACACTTAGGAAAAGCAAAACAGCACAAACGTCTCAATTTGTTTTTCTCAACGGCAGAAAATGTTTTGGAAATGTTCAGCAGTGAGTACAAGCTCCACATCAACATACACTTATTGATTGGAATGTCAGTGTAAACACTGGATCTACAGAGGTGCATAGGGCATTTTCCTGCTACTTTAGAAACATGTCATTTAGTGTCTATCCACAGGATGCACCTAACTGACTTTTAAGTCCCTAGAAATATCTGCCGATACTGAACACTGATGCCAGTGAGGAATTAATAAGCTGCATGTCACTGTGTGGAGACTTGGTTCATTCTTTTATGTCTGAGGCTCGACTCAAATTTTGCTTTCTTTGTCAAACTAAACTAACAAATTAAAATAAATGCATAATTAACTGTATTGTTATTTATTTTTAAAATAATATATATTCAGAATCTACAATCAATTAATTTGAGAAGATTTTCGGTTATTTTATGGATCCAGCTATTATGGAATATTAATGACAATTGATGAAAATTTCATAATTGAAGAACTGTTAATTTTAGGGGCTTAATTTTACTCTTTGCACTTTGGACTGAGGAATTAGATTTTCCAAAGAGACACATCTCATAGTGTCTGGTCACGTTGAGCATGTGTTTAAAAATGCCACCACCTCCACCAACCCCCATTTGCTGCATGTGTTGGCTATTGTCTTCATTAGTTTGTTCACGGCCGTGAAATTGTCCGTCATTATTTACACAAGGTGACTTCTGCAAATTGCTTCTCTTGTCAAACCAGCAGTTTAAAAACAAATATTTTTATATTTTCACCTCTCAGTTCTGTTGGTGATCTACTTCTTTATTTGTCTTTATGTACTGATAAACTAGCAAAACTAGTTTAACTTTTTCACTCACATGTGAAATGGTTAATCAATGAAGTTTCCACGTAATCACGTTGAATTATGTCTTGATAGACTCCTTTAAGTGACGTTCAGTAAAACGATCTGTTAAAATGATTTGACCCTCCGCTCCTGCAGGTCCCTGGATGCCCCGCGGCGCACTGTCCTCCGCCGCCCATTGCTTTCCAATGGCCGGGAGTTGACCCCGCCCACCAGGATGACGCTGCGCGAGCAGCTGAGGGAGAAGATCTCGGCGGCCTTCTACCGCCACGGGCTGCTGTGTGCCTCCTACCCAGTACCCATCATCCTCTTCACCTCGGCCAGCATCCTCACCTGCTGGTAGGTTTTCTGTCTAAAACATATCAGCTCTACAGGGGGTGTAACAAATTATTAAACCTTTAGACACAATAAAATGTCCAGGTTGTACGGTTGGGGATTTTAGTCTGACGACACACATTGCTCTGTATTTTCCCTCCTCTTCACCATGGATCTCTATTTTAGCACACTGCATGCTCTCTTAATGCACATGCACAGTTTTCTATCTGATAAGGTTACATGACAAAGTGAATGTTTGGACTCTCAAGGCATGATTACATGATAAGGCATTGATTGTTTTATGGCACAATGAGACAGACTCTGTTCTCTCTAGAGCCCGAACGAGTTTCTTTGCTGATAAAAATCAGCCAATATTACCCACATACATTTGGGTACCTGCGTTTATGTTTGCCAATATGACACTTTGTGAAAAGCATAAGGGATGCATTTATGTTTTTATTCATTTTTGTATATTTATCTTTTCCATAAATTGGTATTGGAAATTCTTTACTCCCTATTATCTACATTATTCTCCAAAAGTCTAACTTGCACATCGTAGTAGATGATGCACCACACATCCTTAGAGCTGCTTTTAAGGCCAGCCCGTAATTTGAAACTAAAAACTTGTGTAGACACTTGTTTGAACTGACCATCTGCACACACATAGTAAACCCCCCCCCCAACACACAACACCACAAGCACTCACTTAACAAACACACGCACATATCTGCTCTTATTAATCCGCCGGTCAAGAGAAAGAACACAGGTCAGAGAGTTGGCCTGGTTTCATCAGCGAAGACATTGTAAAACAATCGCAGCAATCTGAAACACACAAACATGCACCTGCTGTGTGCTGTCCTTCCAGCACTTTACAGCAGGGGTGCCGAACAAATGGACCACTGGCCGCCACCCGGGGCGAGGTGAAAGAAAAGAGCTGGACGACAGGGATGTTTAAGGCCGGACTAGAGCGAAGGGCTGTGAGAAAATGGCCCTGTGAGAATGGGAGGCCTGTCTCTCCATCTGCTTGTCAGGAGGGGGGCTGGCTTCACACAAAAGAGGCCTTTGTGGAGATACAGTGACCTTGGAGAGAGGGGGAGGCAGGGGGAGGAAGGGAGAAAACAGAGGGAGAGAGAGAAAGAGAATTTTCTGGGAGTTAACTGACAAGCAAGTTTTCTCAAAGGGAAGATAAGTGAAATTCACGCGAGAACAAAATGACAACACGTCATCTACGCGGAGCTACTCACACAGAAAAATGGTCCCTACAAAAATGTTTTTGAAACAAATCCATTTTCTGTTCCTCAGCTGGAAGCTTCTGTGATTGCACATCAGAAAAGAGATGAAACGGCGCTTACAACATGTTGAGAGTTTATTTGTGGTGGTTATTGCGACATGTGTAACCGATGTTTGCACACACTCAGTTAACAGTGTCAGAGTGAAAGGCCCTTTGTCTGTAGCTACAATTTACACATGTCCCCTAAACGCCTCACACGTAGTTTATCAGTAGATGCTACAATTTATAATTTACGATTTGAAACGTCACTTCCTGCCTCTGCCTGCTGCTCCACCTCTCACCTGAATGCACGAAGGTTTTGTTGCTGTTGTCCGTGCAGAGAACCTCCCGCTGTGTTGTGCATATGTGTAACAGCGTGTTCGTCTGTGTGTGTTTGTGTTGCAATCCTCTGGTTTCCAAGTGAATTGTATGTGAGGACACCGCGGCGTTTGCTCGCAGTTGCAACCCTAAGTAAAAGCTGTTTCTTAAGAATTGCTTGCTGCAAACGTGGAGCCAGTTCCAACGACCATGGCACACCCCGTGTTGACACTGCCTCTGGACCAATAGACTGGCTCCATTCAAATGAATAAGAAGGCTTTGTTAATGTGTTTTTCACGCAGGGCTCAGGTCAGTCTGAACACAGCCTTAGAGTGAGACAGTGAACTTGTTGACTGGGCTCTGGCTGTGACCTTTCTTGTTCTCGACGACACCCCTGCCGCCAGCTTTTCTTCAGGTGCTCTGTTCTGACTCGACCGCCGACCGTAACTGCTGATCTGACATCATGCTTGAATCCTGTCAGTTTGACATGCAGGGGTAGTAACACCTGAGTGATGAAGGTTTTCTCTCTTGTAGCTGTGGTTTTAGAGGGACTGGAATTTGATCAGTAAGCAGTGAAAGAAACCGAGGCATGTACAAAATGAACACGCCACCAACACGCAAACAAGAAGTTGACTTGTTTTGTAAAGATCCACCCTTTTTTCAGAGAAAAGGGGGAGTGGGTTTTCTCCAGGTATCTCTGAACATGGCAACAGCAGCTGGAGGCTCTAGTGTCATGTTCTCAGAAGGGTTTCTCTCTCACACACACACACACACACACACACACACACACACGACTGAAGCGCGACCCCTTGAACTGAAGCTCTCTCTTTTAAAAGGAGCATTTTGGAAAAACAACAAAACAAGTTACAGCTTCGGGTTTTTCAATGTTTTTATTAAGTTCTGTATTTCATAATGAGATGAAGTTTTTTTTAAATACATTTAGATAATGAAAAGCTTAAATAAATTACAATATGGTCATTCACAGCAGGATAAATTAAGAGTGTTAGTCTTTACCTGCACTTGTTGTAATGATGCACTGATGTAAATTATCAGATGAATGTAGGTTAAGTCATTCTCATACATGTGTTTTATTCACCCTGTGACCCCCCCCCTCCTCCTCTCTCTCCCTCTCTCTTAGCTATCCGTTATTGAGGCTTCCCCTTCCTGGGACGGGTCCTGTGGAGTTCACCACAGGGGTGCGAGACTACAGCGTCCCTTCCCATGAGCCTCAGGGAGACCTCGGGGAACGACCCGACTGGGTACGAGAAGGCACACATAGATATCTATACATCTCAGTATTTTCAGTGTCAAACGATATTGTTTTTTGTCACTACCCCTTTAAATGAATTAATGCATTGACTAATCTCAAACATGAATCTGAACAAAATGATGCATTTGAAGAAAAACGGTCCCTAAACTAGTTCTCAGTTGCAGACAGTCTCACTACAAACATGGAGGCTCGTACACAATGAAAGCAGATGGCAAACACAAAGGAGTAGCTCATTTTATTGTCAGCAGTAGTTTAAAATTACTGCCTCTGTGGCAGTGGGACAGGAAACGTCACAGGACACTTTCACTGCCATTAGCTCTGGTGTAGAATCAGTAATCTGACACTTTATCTGTTAATGTGCCTGCTTCAGTAGATTAAATGTGCTTGTGTGTTCATGTGCTGTAGTACCGGGGCCCTCCGGTCGCCTACATCCAGCAGGTGTTGGTGAAGGCAGCGGTGTCGCCGTGGGACAGCAGCCTGGTGCCGGTGGACATGTTTCGGTCGCCACTGGGCCGAGTCTTTACGCTGCTGGAGGAGATCCGTAACCATGTCCACGCTGACAGGTAAACATACAAGCACAGTGGTAGATTGCAAGTGGAAGAAGTTTTGAGCTCCGACAATACGACAGTGGGAAAATATCACAAGTCCTGCATTCAAATTATATGTATTTAATTTTTGTGTTAGTGTTAATATCAAAATTCATGTGCAAATGAAAATTGGCACAAATAATTTATAATTAATTAATTACCTGTAGTCGTAGTAAAGAGACTCAACACTTAGACTTCATCTCTCCTCTCTTGAATACTATTATTTTTAAGATGCATCGGTGTCTGTCCCCAACACGAAGCCGTTTAAAAACAAACTTGTCTTTAGTGTGTGTAGAAAAAAACTGAAAAACATCCACGGCCTTGAGTTATGAAAAAAAAAAAAATTAAACCCTGGCCTCTCAGTGGCCATCGATCTGTTGTAAGCGATGAGCTCTCGGACTTTGTTGGGCACGTGCTGCGCTGCTCTGTTTGACAGCTGCACTGGACGCACTGATAGGAGAGCTGATTGTAGACAAGTTGTTGTTTTGCTGGAAAACAAAGAGAGAGTAGAGAACAGCTGAACCTAATGAAGGTCGTTCAATGATAAACCCACTCTAAAAACATACTGCCATTGTCTAATTAACATTTACTTATGCTTTACTGATGGATAATTAATAGATTAATGTTGTGTCCTGCTCATATAATTACTTGAGGAGCTCACCCCCTCTTCCTCTCACCTCCCCTCCTCTGTCTTCTCCCTGTCTCTCCTCTGTCAGCTCCGGGGTTCGAAGTCTGGAGGCGTTATGTCTCCAGGTGACAGACCTGTTTCCAGGGTTACGACGGATGCAGTCGGTGCTTCCAGAGCACGGCTGCCTGCTCGTCTCCCCCGGCAACTACTGGCAGAACCAGCGGGAGCTGTTCGACTCGGACCCCGACCTCCTCAAGACCATCCAGAAACATGAACCCAAAGGCCTGCACACCTCGGCCACGCTGCGAGGTACGTAGGGGAGGGGAGGACCAGACGGACAAGCTTCCTCTGTGCGATTGGACAAAATGAAGCATTTCTTTTCCCTGGATAAGATGTTTCTTTCATTTCCTTTTACGCGCCTAAAGGCAGAGTTCATGTAAATGTATGGCCTGTCAAATGCTCCTGTGTGCTGCTGACAGACTCACGCTTTGAGCCACTACATCCTCTTAGCTTGTAATTTTGGGAAAATATATCAGAATGATGAATCTATTTGAACTCTTGACACATTTCTGAGAAACGTCATCCATGGGAAGATTTTATCGTACAAAGAATTAGTTGTTATCAGTCTGTTTCTCAAGGTTTTATGACCTCAACCTTCAACGTTTACTCCCCACCAGAATTTCTCAGATTACAGAGACCTTAATGAACTAACAGTTGACAACTTGTGATACCTCCAGTTTAGTTTGCTTCCTGCCTTGTGCCATGAGATTGCCATGACAAACAATTCCAGCCTGAAAGCATTTGATCTTCTAGCAGGGGCAGCAGCTAACAAATGCAGTCTGCTGAATCGTCAGTAATTATAATGGTGTCTCCATTAAGATAATGGTCGATATGGTTTGTTTGGTCCTTTTACTGCCTCGTTGGAAGTTTATATTTCCACAAGAGTAATTGTGGGGAGCTGGCGAGTAGTGAGATTAGCTGTATCAGCAAACTAAGGTTTTTTTTTTTTTTTTTATTCTGTCAGAGAACAAGTAGTTTCCTTCGTTGGGAACTTATTCAATTCTCTTAAAACTTTACCCACTGACACACTGAACCAAATCACCCCAAAGCCAGCCCAGCATTCTGCCTCAGACTCCAGCTCAAGTGATTTAGAGGTGGCAAAGATAATTCTGGAGCCGGAGTCAGGGACAGCTTGGCTGCCAGATGCAGTCGCACTGATACTCTCGTTCACACCGGGCTGATGTAAGGCCAGTCACACTGGCATGGGAAAGCCGTAAAAGAATATCCCAGCAGCCCCGGCAAAGCAGGGAGAACCCAAACTCCACAAGAGCACAATGTATGAATTATATTAGGATTAAAAAGGGGCAGAGAGGACATTCACCTGTATATACACTGTAGTTAATTTATTATTCTTGCACATGCTGCTCTCCTGCTTAACATGTTACGTAACACCAGAATCTGACAACAGCAGCTCAGCGTGATATCAGCACAGAGATCTCAGAGCTTTCTCAAATTACAGTGGTGAGCTGGTCAGTAGAAGATGTAACTCATCCAAGGCCCAACAAGTTAATATATTAATACAGTCCACTTACTATTAATTTGATTGTATGATGAGTAGAGCACAATAAGATATTATTGTTTTTTTACAGTGATGTGCTGCAATGTGTGTGTGTTTTGAGAATTATTAATTGTGTGTGTTACAGATCTTCTGTTCGGGGTCCCTGGAAAGTACACAGGGGTCAGTCATTACAACAGGAAGAGGGTGGTGACGTACACGATCACTGTGGTGTTGTCCAGCTACGATGCAAGGTGAGTAACATGTGCAATAAAAAAATATTTAATGTTGTTTCAATTGAATTTTGAAAGAAAGATTGAAAATGTCAGTATTAGCCGTCATTTCTTTACTTCCACATATTTTTTACTTATCCTCACTTTTATTCAGTTAACTCTGTTAATGCGAGTCTGCTGTGACAAATGCATGAAGTTATAATTACTTTTCTTTTTGGGTCACTCCGAGAGTTGTTCTGTGTCACATGAAGGATAAATGAATCGTGCTCTTGTTCTTCTTTAGAGGTTAGATGATGAAACATGAGGTAAAGTTTTATAAAAGCGCTGGTTTGTTTGACTTCACTTTTTGCCAGTTGAGCAAAAGCTGTTATCAATTTTGGACAGGCAGAAATTTAAGGTAATTAGGTTTGAACCTCTTGCATAAACAATCCACTGTCATGTATACAAATAAGGAATTCGTGGGCTGCCTTGTCTTGCTGCTTGGGAGGTTGATGATGATCTTGAGCTCTGTGTGTGTGTCCAGGTTCCTGGGCAGCCTGCGGGCGCGTCTGAAGCAGCTCCACCCGTCGGCCAACTGCAGCCTGAGAGACGACCACATGGTTCACGTCCACTTCAAGGAGGAGATCGGGATCGCGGAGCTCGTCCCTCTCGTCACAACATATATCATCCTATTTGCCTACATCTACTTCTCCACACGTTAGTCTAACTCCTCTCTCTGTCTCCTCTCTGTCTGGCTCGTGTTTCTTGTTCCTCTGAGACTTTTTTTTTCCGACTTACTGTCGTGCCTTAATCACACAACCCACACTGTTAATCTATGAAAGGTGCCAAAGATCCAGGCTTATGCCGATTGCACCTTTTTATGTCCACGTGTGTTCGTGTGCCAAGGCTGTTCCTGTCTGGTGTGGGATAATCCTCACACAGGAACATTGTACACCGCTGCAAGAATTCACCCAGCTAACACCCAGCACAAACATTAGTTCAGGGAACAAACACACAAATACACAAACTATTATTCATGCTCAGACTAATAAGTTAATTCACATTTGGCACAATGCTAAAAACGTATCCTACTGGGATTTGCAAAAGTAACTCAAAATTGCTTGTAACTGCAGTTTTCATGATTTTATTTGTAGTAATATAGATTCTTATTGCACAGTGAACAAATTTATTTTCTTCTTCTTTCCCAAAATCCCAATTTTTTCAAGTAAATGTTTTTTTTGCCCATTTTCGATAATGTTATACTCTTTTTTGTTTGTACAGCTATAAATTATTTTCTCTTTATTTGTGCTAAAGAACATATTGTGTTTACTGTACTGAATATCTTTACAGTGCAGGGATTTTAGAATTAATATTTGGATGTAAAACTTGCAGGTAAGATTGACATGGTGAAGTCGAAGTGGGGCCTGGCTCTGGCTGCTGTGGTCACAGTGCTCAGCTCTCTGCTCATGTCAGTGGGACTGTGCACGCTGTTTGGACTGACACCGACGCTTAACGGAGGGTAAGAAGCCCCAAGTTTACCTCTCTATAGTTTCACACTCAATCTCCCCTCTGTTTGTGTGTAGCTGCAGAGGAGATCAGAGAAAGACAATAAAACCGTGGATTCTAAAACTTCAGTGAACGTACCAATCAATGAGAGACAGAGAGCTTCCTCAGCACTTAGTGCAGAAATAATAATAATAATTTAACCAGCAAGCAATACTCACCATGTTAGAGCATGAACCAGAAAATAACTGCAATAATCGACGTTGAGATGATTAATAGGAAACACTGCTCTGACATGGTGAGATAGGGCATTAGCCTCGGCAGATGTATGCACACACTCAGAACACCGATTATTGTCAACATCAGACTATTCAGATTGTTTTTGAATGGATTTATCAAGAGTTATGTCAGAGCAATACATCTTATTATTCTAATTATTTGTGGGATATCACAGATAAATGATTGAATTCAGCTCCTGTGTCGCAGTTGGAGCGATGTCTGCAGCTTATCTATTTTACACTGAAATGTATCCTGTTAATATTTACTGTCCCAACAGGCCGTTATTGTTTCATCACTGTCTCTTATCTTTTTCACAGAAAGACAAGGACAGGTCCAACAAGATACTCTTACAGTTACACACACATACCAGCTTAGAGACTTCCCATTTCTTCTGCATTGATTTAAATGGATTTCCGTTAACGTTTACAACAACTTGGCAAAAAGTCGATGTGGACGAGAGAGAAGGGACGGGGCGTGGAAGTGGGTGGGACTAGACGAGGGGGCGGGGATGTAGCGATCGACCAATCATTTGAGGATTATTAGAAAGCGGACGTTGTGGCGTGATAACGGCGCACAGCAATCCAACCACTGACCGAGGTCTACGCAAGTCCGCTGTAGGTTTTCCTTGTGCTTCACGTGTTTGCAAAAAACAGACATCGAGGTCAACGTATGCACACAAACTTCACATTCTGCCGACTCACGGTTTACTCCACACACAGGGCTGCTCAGATAATGGCAGCGTGTGTTTATTGTGAGCTGTGTGTGACTGAGTGCGTCTGATGTAATGTGCAGAGCTGCTCACTCCCATGTGACCCAGTTATACACTTACTTCTGGAGCTTATCACTACTCTCTAACTAATCTCTCTTCACTTTGTCAGCGCGGACATTCCCAGCAGCGAGTTGTTAGATACTGAGAAATAATTCTGAATGTAGGCGACTCGGACGGGGAAATAAAGCTTTAATTTTAACCATCACCGTCACGATGACCAGTAGAAGACATGAGTCACGTGACCTGACTGTAAATGACCATGATGATGAGCTCAGTTTATTATCAGATTCCCGTTAGTATCATGTCATTGATCCAATTTTTCCGAAGGAATGTTTTCCTCTATTGCTGAAATCAATCTACAATACAAACTCCTTATGTTAATCAAACATTGATGAGACGCTGTTTTTTATTACAATTTAGGGATTGTTAGATGATCTGATGTAACTGGGGAAAGTGATGACAAAACCCATAAATGATGTTAAGGGGGTAATTTAATAATAATTGAGATAATGTTGAGGATTCATATGAGCAAACATTCAGAAGTCAAACTTGCTTTTGTTCATGTAAGTTTGGATGTTTCAGCTGTTTGGCTGTTTTGTCTCTGCAGGGAGATCTTCCCGTACCTGGTGGTGGTCATCGGCCTGGAGAACGTCTTGGTCCTCACAAAGTCTGTAGTGTCCACACCTGTTGACCTTGAGGTCAAACTCCGCATTGCTCAGGGTGAGAACAGTTTGTGCTCAGTGTGTTTGTTTCAGGCCCAGAATAACATTTGTCTATTTTACTAGTTGCCAAAACATTTGTTCCGCCAAGTTTATGTCTTCATAGCTGTTTAGTAGTTTTTGCATAATCCTGCAAACAGACAAACTCATAGGCCAAGAAAAAAAACATTACCTTTTGGATAATTCAGGTTTAAGGAGCTGATCGCTACTTGTCATGCTGTTTTCTAAAAAATAAAATACAAGCAAACTCAGGGCTTTTAGCTTTTGTGTCCGACTGCATAAATCAAGCATTTTGAAAACTATTTCTTTCTGCAGGCCTTAGTAATGAGAGCTGGTCTATCATGAAGAACATGGCCACTGAACTGTGCATCATACTCATTGGATATTTCACTCTAGTTCCAGCTATCCAGGTGAGAGGAATTTGTTTGATTCGTTTCATCAGCAGAAACAAAGTATAGGAGGAAACGTTGAGACCCACGAAAACACACATCTCTCTTCTCATCAGGCAGCGTGTGTCCTACTTGTAGAACATGACAAAACTACTAGAAGTATCCAAGAAATGTTTCATAATCAAAAGGAATCACATGCTGTTAGCAGAGCATCTTATCTATTCTGGACTATTGCTTGTTTTTAAGCCTCAGGCACAGCAAAAAAGAGCAAAGAGCACTGTTGTGTGAAGCTAACTGGTCAAGCCACTTGTTTGTCACATGGATAAATAATGTATTTTGTATTTTTAGTTTGACATCTCTGGTATCTGTGTATTTTATCTTTCTAGGAGTTCTGTTTGTTTGCGGTTGTGGGGCTGGTGTCTGACTTCTTCCTGCAGATGTTCTTCTTCACGACAATACTGTCTATAGACATCCGCCGCATGGAGGTGACCACACACACACACACACACACACACACACACACACAACCCGAGTGTGTAACTCTTATGAAGTCTAATGATAATATTTAAGTCACAGATATAAATCAGAATAATCCACCAAGCATTGTGTAGATTCTTTTTGACTGTTGGACAAAACAGTGTGACAATCAAAAATAAAATCTGATATTTAAACACGGAGATGGCGTGAAACTCGAGCTAACAAACACAACATGTCACTTTCTGACATGTGTAGGACATAGGGGAGTTCAGGTGGAGGTGACAGGTCCACATACATTCACCACATAGTTTTCAGATTACTGTTTTCCCGAATGTGCACGTCTCGTTTAAAACCTCTTAATGTTTAAAACTTAATGCACTCACACTCACACACTGAAACCTTTTACTGGACTTACCTCCATGCCCGGCTAAATGAGCATTAGTACCATAGACCTATATATTTAAATACACAATAATTCAAATCCTTGTTAAATCTTAAATCCTGTGGAAAAATATGGTCTTTATGTAAAATATGTGATAAATACGTCTGTAACTCATACGACTGGTTTCATTATGGATTCATCTGTTGATTTTGTTATTTCTAACTCAGTCTGAAAATATATATACATTTGTGTTTTCTATAAACAAAGAGATAAAACACTGGTAAATAGAAAACACTCACGTTGGAGAAGCTGACGTTGTTTTTGGCAGGAATCGAACCACGCACAGTTTGGCCCTAAAGCTACTTGACTGGACTAGAAAGGAGAACAAAAGTCCAAACCGTCTTTCTCTCTTCAGCTGGCTGACTTGAACCGCCGCCTGCCGGCAGAAGCAGGGCTCCCTCCACCCAAACCAGGCCCACTGCGTCCACGTGAGGTCCCCCCTCCACCACGACCCTCGCCGCACACGATCACCCTGCAGACCCCGACCTTAAGGACCCTGAGGCTCCCTAAGAGGCTGCGTGTGGTGTATTTCCTGGCCCGCACCCGCCTGGCTCAGCGTATCATCATGGTAACAGGACTGATTCAGATCTGATAACTGTACATTTGTACAAACTTACGCCTTTGTAGCTTCTTAATTACGTTTTCATTCCTATTTCATGTCCAGGTTGGCACGGTGATCTGGATCGGCATCCTCGTCTACACCGACCCAGCCGGGATCCGCACCTACCTGGCTGCACAGGTGTCCGAGCAAAGCCCTCTGGGAGATCCCGGAGGAGCTGGCCTGCCTCCACACCTGGGTGTGGCCCCCGTCTTCCGGGGTGCAGATGCCACCAGCACACTCGGAATTCACCCCGCACCAGATCCAACTCCCTTACCCGAGAATCAATCGCAGGGCCACTTTGGCTCAGCCAGGGCGGGGCCCCTCCCTCAGGCCCCGCCAGCGGTGCCTCAGATCACCTGGGGGTCCGAGGACGAGGAGGGCTGGAGGAGACTGTCCTTCAGGCACTGGCCGTCGCTCTTCAGCTACTACAACATCACTTTAGCCAAGAGGTGAGAGGAACAGGACTATTTAGTTTCAGTTCGTCAGAGTCACACATCTTCACCTTTGATAGTTTCCTTATTAGAATCTCAGACTTCAACACATCAACAGTTAAGTGTCAAACAACAATGATAACATGTTAACGGGCGGCACTTTAACAAAGCTCCCACTTTGTCCTCTTTTCAGGTACATCAGCATCCTGCCCGTCATTCCCGTCACCGTTCACCTGAGCCCCCAGGAGGCCATTGAGACACGTCACCCTCAGGACACGAGACATCCTCCACCACCCATCCCCAAAGTCTCTGCAGATCTACAGACTGACCTCACCCTTTACAAGTCAGTGCACTTGAACACACATCCTTGAAAGGCTTCTGATATCACCGTTTCCTCTGACACACTTCAGAGCTTGTGTGAACTGTGTTGTGTGGTGGGAAGGACGGACGTGTCATCAGTCAGTGTTGCAACATATATTCAACCAGACAGTTTGAATAGCTCATAGGAACTTGTCATTGCAAAACCACTACAAGGGAGAAACATTTAGCTGTAGTTTCATAATACTAAGCAGAAAGGCAACGGAATAATCTGATCACTGATGTGCTGTGTTTAAACATCTGTACAGTTTTATTACGGTTTTATAAAACTCATGTTGTGAAGTTTCTAAAAAGCTTTCAGCTCCTTTAACTCGTTAAATAAATATTTTACATTTTATAACTTTAATCACAATGAAACCAGGCTCTTAAAATACTGTCATTTGTTGCACTTATCAATGCTTCCATAAATTTAAATCATTAAAAAACACTCATACACTGAGTCCATTATGAAAACAGGCCACAGAACATAAAGGTGTCTTCATTGGGGCTTTTCATATCAAAGTGTCATTAAAACCGATCATTAAACTGATCAACATTAAAAACTTCCTGCTGTCGTCCCTCAGCTGGAGCTGTAAAGTAGAGTCCAAGGTGATCTAAGGCCAAGGTCATGTGTGGCTGTCATATTTATAACCAGCACAGATTGAAGATCAATACTGGTTCTTCCTTTTTTAATAAATTACTGTTACTAATACTCAGGAGATTTTTAAAAAGGATTTCCACTGCAGAAACTTTTTACGCCCGCGAAAGTTTCTTCTTGTAGGGTAGTACTTCACAGACGTCCAGGAACATGCCTGGACCTGTATGTCAGTGTTTTATTTCATCTAGTCAGTTTCAGCAATAGCTCGTAAGGTCACTACCTGTGTTTTATGAGGTTGGAATGATTGTTTTTCTACAGTGTATAGGAAGCTTTTCTTTTTCATCTGGAGGAAGAGAATAAAAGACTGAAGGGTGCGTGAAGTGCACTGTGTCAAGTGTCACTGGAGTGATTGTTATCTCATCTGAAGCAAAAATAGAGACAAAGAAAGAGGAGGTGAAGGAAGGGAGGACATCTGTTATCGTTTGCTTTCAGGATCCCATCTGTGATGTAACGGACAAAAGGGTTCATGTGATGAATTATGATTAAAAACACACAGTAAAAAAAACAAACGCATCACAAGCTGTTACAACATCATCCACGGAAACCTGAAATAGAGGAGACATGGTTGCAGCGGCAAAACAAGCTTAAGAAGTTTATTCAGCTTTGTCCTGGAAATTGAGGGTTAATCTTCATATAACAAGTGGATTTTGGGCCATAAAATTCTCTCTTAAGAGAAGTTCGGCTTTGGAAGCCGTTAACTTGAAGGCGAGGTTTTACCTTCGATTGAGCTTTCAGCGCTGCGTTGTGTAAGCCGGCGTCATGTCGTCAACCCGATTGCCAAGTAGAAGGTTGAGTCGTGTGTTTCATCTTTGGACAGTTGATACGAGGGTTATCAGCTGTAGCTGGGTCAGGGTCGTGACCTTCACAGTGGGAAGAAGCAGCTGAGTTTATGGCTTGTTTAGATGACCCTGAAACTGAGAGAAGGTCAGTGTGACAAAGGTCAACACAGAGAGAAGCAAACAGAGAAAAGATAATGGAGCGATCCTTCACTGTACGTGTGATCGGCCCATGTTTATTATTCGAGTACTGACAAGAGACCTTGTTATCTCCCCGAAGAAATCACGCGAAGTATCGTCAGAAACAACAACAAAACAATTCTCCGTCTTAAGTTTCAACAGAGTGACACAACGTGACGTATGTTTACGGGTTCCTGCCTCTCGTCTTGTTTCAGAGGTAACAGGGTTTTAATGGACTGGTGTTTCAAACAGAGTCGCAGGTCTCACTCGTCCGGCAGGTTTCAACAGCACTGTCTGGACACATTCCTGTGTAAATGGTGGGGCAGTGTCTGTGTGTGTGTGTGTTTAACCAATTTGTTTAGTTCTTTGTCTACGAAGGACAGTCCTCGCACAAATAAATAAACACACACAGTAATACAGCTTTAAACACACACAGTAAATAGACTCATAGTGTTAGAGGTGCAGATATGTTTATAATTATCAAATACTACCACGTTAACAACAGTTTAGAATGAATGAGTTGATGAGGTTTGCATTGACGAGCTGACGTGAAGAGTTGGAGTCAGTTATGAAGAGAGTGTGAATTCACCCTTTGAAATAAATGTTGTTTCACATCGAACTGTCTGAACGTGGAGATCGTGAAGACTGAGCGCAGCCTGATCATTTACTTGTTACTAAAATACTTATTATTATTGTTAAATCTAATGTTTTACAGTCATTTGTCACAGTTGTGGTGATAAACTGAAAATCTATGGCACAAGTTTGATGAACAAAAATGAAAATATGACCAGTACAGTGGTCAGTTAACACAATGTATGTGTATAATGGGATTTTTCTTGTTTGTCTTATCCAGGGTGGCGTTTCTGGGCCTGGCTGCGGGCGTCCTGCTGGTTCTGCTGCTCTTCTGTCTCTACCGCGTTCTTTGCCCACGTAACTACGGTCAAAACGGTGTCACCCATGGACGCCGGCGCCGAGGGGACCTGCCCTGTGATGATTACGGTTACTCGCCCCCCGTCAGTGAGATCTCACCACTTCTGTTGAGGGGCCACAGCATGGTGAGAGCGGACTCCAATACAGAAATCACATACAAATGGTTTGCAACAAAATCCACCAGGGGACTGATTTCAAAATGAACTCTTAGACGATTAAACTGTCGCCCACACATATAAAGTTAGAGGCTATTAGTAATAAACAAGCTAATTCAAATCTTGTTCATTTGTTGTCATCAGATCGAGTCAGTTTGTTTCTTTCTGTCCTGCAGGATATCGAGTGTTTGGCCAGTGACGGGATGCTGCTGGCGAGCTGCTGCCTGGCCGGACAGATTCGTGTTTGGGACGCCCAGACTGGAGACTGTCTGACCGTCATTCCAAACCACAGGTGAGAGCTTCAAGATGAGAACGTTTTACAGCAGCTGCTTTGACACTTAGTGCTGTCTTGTGGGTAAAAGATTGTGACACAGTTTTTAAATGAACCCAAACAAACGGTATGTCAGTATTTATTTATCTGCTGAAATCGATATGATACATGCACATGGCCGTGTTGCCGGCCCAGCCACGCTTCCTTGGCGATCCTGAGTCTTTCTCAGGACAGATGGGATATGTACCCCCTTCAACAAGTTCTCGGTAACGCTAACTGAGAACTCTGTCTCGGTTTCAGGCTGAGACGGAGCAGCAGCGGCTGCTGGGAGCAGCGGGACGGCTGGGACAGCATGAGTGGAACCGCAGAGCTGGAGGGTTTAGGCTCTGACGGCTGCGACCGCTGCAACCCTGGTGACGGCCTCTCAGAGGACGAGGCGTACCCACTGAGACGCCGCACTGCCCCCGCCCGGCTGACCCTGTTCACCGACCAGCCCGATCTCACCCCGCTCATCGACACCAACTTCACCTGCCAGCCGCCCTCTCACCTCTCCTTGCCCCCCAGGGGAGGGTTTGACTTTGGCGGTCTGGTGGAGCGCGCCTACTTGGAGCACGAGCCCCCTTCTCCCTCTGGTCACCCCTCTCCTTCCTCAACCTCCTCCTCGCCGCCCTCAGCACCTCAACTCCAGAGGAGACCCAGCCTTGGGGATGCAGCCGGCGCCTTTACCCAGGAAAGAGTCTCCACAGCAGGAATGCAGGCGACGGCCGACTGGGAAAGCTCCGTCTGGGCCCTGGAGCTGAGAGGGAATCTGATAGCTGCTGGGAGGAGCAGCGGTAAACTGGAGGTGTGACATTTTACACATTCTTCTTCTTTCACTCACAATAAAACAATGAACACACCTTCATTCACCAGATGATGGCTCAATAATTTGAACACTTGACTTGTTTGCAGCTGTGGGATGCTGTGGAGGGCTCGTTACGCTGCAACAATGAAGACGGTGTATCGGGGATCACAGCTCTCGCCTTCCTCAACAACAGGTTACTCACACACAGTAGTAGTAGTTGTTATTATGGCTCCACGCCTGTGACACCCAGTGGCCAGAGACATTCATTTTCTGCTGTTTCACTGCTGCATGCTAAACACATACATAAAAACATATGGTCTGTTGGCAGCTGGTTTTCTCTAAGTGAATAAACTACAGTTCCAATGTGCCGACTTCAGGCAGAAACCTGGACACCAGCTGATCCTCACTTTACACATTTCATTGATTCATGTGTTTCTTCCTCCTCAGAATCGTAGCGGCTCGACTGAACGGGTCTCTGGATTTCTTCACTGTTGAGATAAACAAACCCCTGGGTCTGCTGCAGTACAGAGGTGAGTCTCTCTGCCTGCTATTGTTTTTGAATTGTGTATTTGTGCAGCCTCGTAAATTCTTTCATATTTCCTGATCATTTATTTAAGAGATGGTTTGTTAACCTCCTGCAGGTGCACCTGGACGAGGCAGCATGCCTCCGTCTCCCTGTTACAGCAGCGAGGACGCGATCAGCGTCCAGCTCACGCGCTCGATACAGTGCGCTCACCACAAGCCCATCACGGTGCTGCGAGCGGCCGCCGGGAGGGTCGTCACCGGCAGCCAGGACCACACAGTCCGGGTAACAGACCCGTTTTTACCCAGAACAAAACTTAACTTTCACTGCAGAGATCTTACTGATATATTGAAGTTAATATACCAATAATCCTGATTAACCACAAAGCTTTGAAAAGAATTTACAGATCTCAGTCGCATTCAATCCTCACAAATCTGTGTGTGATGCTTTGTCAGGTTTATCGTCTGGAGGACTCGTGCTGCCTCTTCACGCTGCAGGGCCACTCAGGAGGGATCACTGCCATCTACATAGACCAGGTGAGGGTCACTGTACACTTCCCATACTACATCCAGGATCAAACACACACACACACACACATAAAACATTAATATGTGGAGACTTTGCATTGATGATATTGTTGAATTTTAAATGCAAACATTATATTAAATAAACCTTTTGTA